TCGCCCAGCACAGACAGTCCTCAGAACCTGAGCTGCGGGACCACCCTGTAGAGCACAATGAAATCCAGCACATAATCACAGTTGTGTAATTTATAGGGCAACAATTTCCCAGGGCTTTGGGGAAAAGGAGTATTTTGGGGGGAGCCTAATTTTTTTTATGTTGGCTATCAAGAAAAAGATTGTGCCAGTGGCCCTTTTGATTGAACTTGGACCTAGATATACCTTCTCTGCGAAATTCTGTCACAGAATCACAACTGCGAGCCTAACCCACTTGGGCAGGACCTTCAGAATGACTTCAGAGCCGAGTGACATTCAGAATGACTTGCAAGTTGCAGTGTTTGACTGTGTCCGGACGGAATAGAGAGCATTTTCACACTGAGCAATTATATTATTGGTCAGTGATCAATATCTTATCAATTATCATTGATTGAGAAGTTGACGTTTGCCTGGTGCCACGAGAAAAAGTTCAGTCCCATGGCTGGAAGCCAGTGTTCTAGAGAAATAGTTGGCGAGGTAATCCATATTCTTTTTTTACTCCTCCGTGACTCACTCTGGGTTTGTCACCAGAACTCCCCCTGGGGTGGTCTGTTACCTGTGACTAACCATACTGTGTGGGCCTCTTAATAAGTGAAATCAACTTAAACTTAGCACCAGAAACTATCTTGAAAGGAAAACAGGCTCATAACAGTAGCTTCTCCTGGCTTTTAGAAGAAAAGAGGCCGTCCCGCGTGTATGTTGCGGGCCTGGATGATGAGACAGGTAGGGCTCTGTCACCTGTCGTGACTCTGTAGCACCAGGTAGCAGGACTGCCACCTCCCTGGCCCACTTTCCCTCCCCCAGCACAGTTACCCAGCTGCTCCCTAGAGTTGCCTTCCCATCATTAGTCAGGAAGCTATAAAAGAAAGACAAATTTGAACCCTGGCACAGTTATTCGAATTTGTTGAACCATCGGGATGGCTCTGATTGCCACATTCTCAGAAGCTCACATACTAAACTCCAGGAAGATCCGGGATCTTCTTTGTGTCCCGCCGCCATCCCAGTTCTTGACCTCACTTGCAGGTGGCTGAGTCTGCCACACATCTGTGACTCGGATACATCAAGGCTCTTTTCCTGAAATCAGAAGAGGGTCAGCTTTCCTGTGTTCCTTCAGTTCTCGTGTACGTGGACCACACAGCGGTCTCTGTTTCAGAGCGGCGGGTCAGGCGGGACACTCAGAGTAGGAGCGCGTGGCTGTCCTCCTCCCCTCCGTCTTCGGCCACATGGCCACCTCGCAGAGACCTCCTCTTCCCAGCTCCTCCTCCTGCAACAATAGTCTTCGCTCCCTAAATCCCGTTGACACCACCTTCTAACACTGGCCACCACCCAAAGATGTTGCTTCCAGAACGGGTTGAATAGGGGAGCTCAAATGTACGGGGGAATATCCCTGACTCTCCCCTGGAATCAGTTCGGCTCGGGTATTACACGCGAACTTACAGCACATGTATGTAAAGGCAGCTCTGGGTGAGCCAGTCTGAACAGGAGGTGGCAGTAACGGCCAAGGTATTGGGGTCCCTTCTCCAGTAGCTCTAACAAAGGGCACTTCCTGCCTGTTTGTCCATTCTGGGCGTAGTTTTGCCTCACCAACGCCGAGCTGTGGAGTCCCCAAAACTATTGAAGAATTAAAAATTTGTCAAATGGAAGGCTGAACAAAAGAGCAAGGTGGGAGCTGCTACTCATTGCAAAGGAAAGGAGGAGCCCGCAGAGAACCAGGTGCCCCCACGTAGGCTGGCGCTAGTGAGAGTTTTGGGAAGAGCAAGGATTGGAGACCTAGTGCACCATCTTGCTGAGACTCCAGGCAGAGTTGACCCAACCTGTGCCCTCACATGGATGACAGGGG